CAAGCATTCAAACGTATGAGTCTATGGAGACCATTCCTATTCAAACCACCACAGAGAAGTAGACTATGGGGAGATGTACTACTTAGCTCTCCCTTCAGGAAAGGACTGTGCCACAGCTTCTATCTCAGCTGTTAACCCCTTGGGAACCCTGCTTCACCCTCCCTGTGCCGTAGATATAGTGTCTTGTGGAATCTCTGTCTATTAATCACTTGATGTATACATATAAAGGCCTAGCCTTTCCATGTCAGTGAAGGACAATCTGGTACATCAGGCAGATTAGTGCAGTCTCTGCCATCTCTACCCTAAATCCTGGAATCTATAAGAATACCTACATGGCAAAACTGCAGGTAGAATCTGGGTTGTTAGGCAGCTGGCCTTAAAGTGTGCATAATCCTCATTGACTTGGGTGAGACCAGTATTCATGGGGCCCTTTACTTTGTAAGAGGAAGAAAAGTGAATTGCATTTGAAGATGGTAGAAGTCAAGGAACACAGACAGACTTCAACAACTGGGAAAGAAAATCTCTCTCTGCCTCAGCTTCCAGAAGGAACATGTCCCACCAACACATTGGTTTTAGCTCAATGACACTCATTTCAGACTTTTAGCTTCCAGAACTGGAAGATGAGAAACATACCATTTAGAGATAATAAAATCGTGCTCTGGAAATTTGTGGTAGCAGCCATAGAAAACAAATCCAAGCCGGGCAGTGGTGGCGCACGCCTTTAATCCCAGCACTCGAGAGGCAGAGCCAGGCGGATCTCTGTGAGTTCAAGGCCAGCCTGGGCTACCAAGTGAGTTCCAGGAAAGGTGCTACACAGAGAAACCCTGTCTCGAAGAAAAAAAAAAAAAAAAGAAAAAAAAAAGAAAACAAATCCAAACTATCTTAGAATGCTCTTCAAAGAGATATCTCAGTGGTTAAGAGCACTTGTTGCTCTGGCACAGGACCTGGGTTCAGTTCCTAGCACTCACATGGCAGCTCACAAACAGCTGTAATAATAATTCCAGGGGATTCAAAGTCCTCTTCTGTCCACGGTGGGAACCCCACATAATGTAGTGTGTGTGTGTGTGTGTGTGTGTGTGTGTGTGTGTGTGTGTGTGTGTGTGTATGGCAGACCACTCATACACATAAAATGAGGTAAATTAATCTAAAATACAGCTGTCATATCAGGTATGGGTACTGTGAGGCTTGCATCACAATGCAGCTCCTTCCTTTTTCTCATCCTGCTTCCCATGCTTTTTCCAATAGGTTGGAGCACTTAGGACTCTTACTTCTTAGTATCTTGTTGCTGAACCTCTGCCATGGTTTTGACTGGTGGTTATGAGCTCAACTCCAGCTACTTCCTTAACTTGGGCATCTTATGTAGCCTGTTTGGATTGTATTACTCCTTTTACCTCCCACATGCTCTTCTACGTCCCACACAATAAGATGGCCAGAGCCTACGTCCACTAGATAGCATTGAGGAAGCTTCAAAGGGTATCAGTAACATGTGATAAGAACTCCGTAAAGGTGGATTTAGCTTCCTTAACTTTGCCTCAGTATTTTCTCTCAGAAATTGGCAGCCTCATTTAATAATAATTGACAACAAGGGACAAGAGAAGTGGGGAGACAACTCACAATTTCGCTATAGGATCCTTCCTTACAAACTGTGTGCTTCAAGCCAAGAAAGCCTTGGAAGAATAAGGTGACTTCTCAAAGGATATGGGAATTTAGCAGGGTGTATAGAAAACACTCTAGAGAGAAGACGGGTCTCTTCTAGTAGTCTTAGTTCATTTCATTAGAGTGGAAGCATAAGCAGGAGATAATTAGGTTTGCAAAGTGTTTTGTTTGCTGCCTTTAGCTGGTAAATTGACATAAAGGAGTCAATGTATCTCGCAGAGTGTATAGCAAGATACATTGGCATGTACTACATAAATATGAAAGGAAATTATAACCTTGAAGAATCTGAGAAGAAAAACAGAACTGGAGAAGGAAAAGGAAGTTGAGTTATGCACCCATTTCAGATAAATACACAGAGCCTTTGAAATTATGACAGAAACAGCACTGTTAGATTTATCACCATGGTTATTGCTCTCATTCCAAGTTCCTACCTTATATTTATCATCTTTATATTCATATGACATCTCTATATTCAGTATCTTGCAAATATCACCCTCTCTCATAACCTTTTCAGCATAAATTTCACATGCTTTGTGTCAACTCAGAAACAAATTCTTCTCTGACAAGTTGAACCTATTTGTTTAACCATTTCTAAGTTACCCAAGCATGGGAAAGTGGTGTTTAGGAAATTTGTCAAGATTCACTTTTAGAGTATTCAAATTTAATCCAAAATTGTTTAAATGTAAACCCCAAGAGCAATTGTACACATTGTCTAACAAGAAAAACATTATTTTCTCATTATTTTCTTAGAAACTCCATCATCCTAGAACATCGTTTCTTAGAAATAAAGTTGATATTTAATCTCCACTTTCTGTAGACATGAAGTTATAGAAACACCCACTCAAATCTTGGGAAAATCTCTAGGTTTCCCGGCTCCTTTATACATTTTATACTTGGGGGAAAATGTCTTTAAATCTCGAGTCATGGCATCAAGGTGGGTTTGATGGTAAATAACTCCTGTTTTGATAACAAAGGTTTTATTCCAAGAAAATGGAACCATAAAAAGTTTAAATTTTATATCATATGAGCATGGGCTTGCCCTAAAAATATTTATGATAGTGGTAGCATCTTTTAAGCAAATATTATTGGGCATATTTGCAAAATTTTTCTGAAGTGATATTCCGTTTGTGAGGAATATTAATGGAACGTGCTATCTTTTCTATCAAAGGGTTAAATGAGACAAAGGAGGCTCCATCTTTGAAGACATCTGTAAAGATGCCATCTGGAAAAACCTCTTCTCTAGTCGGCATTTTTCAGATCAAAATATGTACTCAAAGCCGCCTCCTGTTCTCAAAAGTTGCACTTGAGTTATCAGCTGTGCTGGTGTAAGAAGCCAAGTTCTGACCAATCATGGTGAGACCCAGGACCCCTTTGCATTAGGAGTAAAAACCAAGAGGAACCACTGCTGGGTGTGACGGCAACGTTTTGCAGAGGTAAACTTTGTTTTAAAAACATGTTTGTTTTGTGTTCGAGTGGTTTGCTTGCATGTTACCAATGTGCACTGTGTGCATGGCCGGTGCCCACAGAGGCCAGGGGAGGGTACTAGATTCCCTGGAACTGGATTCAAGGATGGTTGTAAGCTGCTGTGTGGGTGCTGGGAACCAAGTCCCAAGTCCTCCACAAGAACAGCAAGTGCTCTCAACTGCTGATTCATCTCGTCAGTCCAGAAGGAAAACTTTTTGCCTTATTGAAGTATCTAGGATTGTGTTGTTAACTCTTTGAGACCCCAGACCCATTTCTAATACATCTATCATCTGATTATAATCTCCCCAGACATCTGAAGTGCTGGGAACTTGCAGAATTAAGAAGAACTAAAGAGAAAGGGAGCAAAGACCCCTTCCTTCTGACCCTGTAGACAGTCCCAAGATAGACTGACTTGCTACTTCTATCTACTGCTGAATAAATACATCACTCTAGAATTCAGTGATTTAAAACCACAACAGTCCTTTCATGGTTATCATAGCTCTGGAGTGTTGGCTGAGCTCTGATAGGCTCTGGTTTTGCCTGTGGATTAGCAATATCTAGAGAAAGCATCATATCTCCCTCATGTCTGGCCCCAGGTCTGAGAAGGTTCAAACATCTGGAGGCTGTTTGGCATCTCTTTTATTTTGACATGGTCTCTTTGCATGGATTCTCCAGCAAGCAGCTTCTGGGTCGCCAAATTCCTTCAGAGCAGATTGCAGCATCCAAGGTTCTTGTCCCAAAAGAGAGTCAGGTAGAATCTGCTACCATTTTAAAACTGGCTTCAGAAGTCAAGGCAGTTACTTTGAACCAAACAGGTTCAAGAGACAGCATACTCCACCTTCTGATGAGAAGTGCACCAAAGAATCTTTGGGCATGTGTGTAAACCACCACAGGACTTCACAGACCTCTGCCAGAAAGCCTGGAACAGAATAATGAGTCATTCACTAAACCACAAATTGCTTCATTGTGGTTCCTTTGCCTTTTGCTATGATGGGTTAGTCTGGAGTTTAAGGGCTCCTGATCTGGAGTTAAGATTGTCTAGGCTTGCCTCTGCTCTGACACAAGGCTTGGAACCTGGAGCAAGCCTTAGTACCTCAGCAGTCCTACCTGCAGATCAGATCAGGGTTAGTATCCATTAACTATGTGCCTGAAGCTAGGTATTGTCCTATTATGCAATTTCCTTTCCCCCTTAAGACAACCCGGTAAACCACGGAGTCCTTATCTACTTCCCAAGCCATAGGGCTGGTGAAAAAAGAGGGATTTTCTAGATCTGTAGTGTGGATCAAGTGAGAGCAACTATTATGTTCAGTGTGGATGTGATTAAAGCGTTTGGGATAGAGTCTAGTGCAGCCAGATAGCAGAGTATTGTTATTAGAAACTGACCCAAAGTGCAGAAGGTCCTACTGAACGGCAGATTGCTCCAGTGGAAGACAAATATGGGCTGAGTCAGGTGTAAAACATTAAAATCCCTTCTGGGTCTCATTCCGAGCAGGAGTCCAGCACGTTCTGGAAAGTGGGATCACAGCAATTTTGATCCTGCAACACGAGAGTCACGCCCCCCCCCCCCCCCCCGCTCCCACCCCCGAAAAGGAATCCTCTACTCAGCGCACTAGTGCCAGGAGAACACCCCGCTTCTGCCTGAACCGTCTCCAAGTGTCAGGAGGCTCTGGCGTCCAGGCAGGCATCCTGGGCTCCCTGATTCCCAGTGCCACCCTCGCTCCGCAGGTGCCACTTGGGCGATTCCAGGGCGCCCATCTTCCCAGCCCAGGCAAAACCCGGAGAAGTGGAATCGGTCGCCGGGAGCTCCAGGGCGTCCACTGGGCATGCTCTGTCGTCGGGCAGGTTCGGGGCTGCCAGCAGCGGTGCGCTGTGCAGGTCCTGCTGTTCCTCCCCAGGGCGGGCGCGCGATGGCGGCTGCGAGCGCCTGCGACAGCAGCGGTGGCAGCAGCGACACGTCCAGCACGGGCGAGGAGGAACGGATGCGGCGGCTCTTCCAGACGGGCGACGGCGACGGCGACGGGTACATCAGCAGGTAGGCGACCCTCGGCCCAACTCCAGCAAGTTTCTCGTGTGCTTGCAGGCAAAGTTGGTAGCTCCAGGCTCCGGCTGGGCCACAGGGACCAGTGGCGGCTCTGGCTATTTTCCGGAGATACCTGTAGGAGGCGCTGCTGTCCTGGGGTTGCTGAGATACTGCAGGCGCCAATGGGAGGTGGTGGACGACCCGGGACAGGGGTGCTGTCACTGACAGACACCTATAGGAAAATAGTTCAAGGAAAGTGCTTGAATCCCAAACTTAAAAATCCAGAGAGGGGGCAGAATTGGTCTCCCAGTATTGATCTAGACACACTGCCCTGGGGCACAGGAAGCCACCAGGAGCGAACTGGGTTTTGAAGATGAATCTAAGATGTGGACCCTGCTCCAAGGCATGTCACTGTCGGAGCCTGACAACACTATTTATCCTTCCGGATTTGCTTCCAAATCCAGGTCCGGTGGTGTGGCTTTAGCCCACAGCTCTGGGCCAAATGATAAGTACTGGCCAAATTTGTAAACTTTAGAAGCCGAAGGTGAAGTGTGGATGCGTAAAGTTGCAATGTGCTTTTGTGAGACCGAAGAAGTACGTGCTGGCTTTTGGATTGCCTTCAATAAAACAGGCAACCTAACTTGTGTATACTCTGTTTCTTTAGACTTTGTCTTGGAGATGCTCAATACCCATTCTGAAAAGTTGAGGTTGCCTATTTGCTGTTTATCTTTGATTACCTAAAGGAAAGAGGAGTCAAGGACTAGTTTCCCTAGACTGTTCAAAAGCTCTCTGAAATAGGTCATTTAGCCTGTAACAATTTGGCAGGTACAAAAATCACCATTTATCTGAGATTTATTCAGTTATCAATCTTGGGTGAATTGTTATTATTTTTCCAAAGTTTCACTGAGAAATACTTAGAAAGACCAAAAAAATTATGGAATAATTCTGTTCCAAATGAAAACAGTATGTAATTCTGTTAGATCCCATGTAGATTTTTTTTTTTTTTACTTTGAAGTCAGTGTTGTATTTTTTTTTAACAAATTATATAGTTTGTTGTTTGGGGGTTTGCCTATGTGAAAGGCTATTCTCTCAGTGTAATAATAATAAAAGCAATCTGTATTCAAGTTGGGATGCAAAAGGAGTTTAATTTCATACAAGCAAGAGTACATATAAAAAATTAGCAACATTCTTATCTTTTCCTTCCTAATTTGGTCTTTTAATGTATTGCTTTATTTGAACTGCACTTAACTATATAAATGATCATTTTAGTTTCAATAATGGATCCATTTACTCTGGAGAGTAATGACTTCTCTAAGAAAACTTGAGGATCTTCTTTTGGAGACTGAAAATTTCTCCCTTTTTTAAACAAGAGAGTTGGAGTGTCTACGCTGAAACCTTAACATTCCCAGGTTCTTTAAAAAGACATTAATTTTACGCTCATGCTAGGGAGGTGGTTGTGTCTCCTAGAAAGCTCAGCACAGGTTAATAAATAAATAAAGGTTGGCCTTATCACATTGTAGATGAGTGGCGATGGGCTATCCAGGCCTGGGTGGCAGTTCCACAGGACCGTCAGTGCCCACCTTCCTTCTTCCCTTCTCCAGTGCAATGCTTCCTGTAGACGCCGGCAATTATCTCTCAGCACGAGGATAATTACCCCAGCTTCCACTCCTTCCTCAGGTTCCAGGGGAAGAAGTAAATGAGAGTTGAAGTATATATCCTTCTATCAAGACGTGCCAAAACACCTTATTGTTCAAATCACACCCCTCTGAGGCCACCTTTATTTGCAACAGAGTGGGAGGGGAATTGTATTTCAGCTGGGTCCAGTGCTCCCTAAACAAAATCTGAGTTTTGTCACTAAGAGTAAGCAATAGCTGTTGGATGTGAAAGTAATAATCAGTCTGTATAAGGAAGTCCCCCTCATCCCCCACTCCCTGTGATAATCTTCATTTGACTGTATTGACTCTAGTCCTCTACCTAGCCCTGATCCGAAACTGGAGGGGGTTGGCAACCTTATGTCTGGAGGAAAGAAAAATAAAAGAGAGAAGCAGTTGGGGTGAATGTCAGGGAGAGAAAAGGTGGAACTCAGGCCTTCAGTGTTCTCTTGGCTAGTCTTCTCCACCAGGAAAAAGATTCCTGGATTCAATGATTCTGACAAGGAGCTTCTAAACTGTCAGAGGGATGCAGAGCCACCCCCACTCAGTAGCTGAGATGGTACATTGAACTGTCATCAAATTTCCTATCCTGTGACAGGATAGGGTTTGGGCTGGGCAATGACACCAGAGCAGGCTCTTCTGGTACATATCATTAACCTCATAATGACTTAACCCCCATATTTCACAATTGTGAATTCTGGACCCCACATATCATGTCATAGGAAGTAGTAGGGGTTAGGTTTTGTTTTTTTCACTTCAGTGAAAAGCAGTGTGAAGCTGCTTCTTTGTGTGTGTGTGTGTGTGTGTGTGTGTGTGTGTGTGTGTGTGTGTTGTGTGCATATGTAGGTGTTTATGTCAGTGTGTGCATGTGTGTGTTTGCATGTACATGGAAACCAGAGGTTGACATCAGGTATGTTCCTTGATTGCTCTCCATGTATTTTTTAAGGTTTTTATTTTATTATTTTTATACACGTGTGTGTGTGTGTGTGTGTGTGTGTGTGTGTGTGTGTGTGTGTGTGTGTGTGTGCTTGTAATGGTCATAGGTATTAGAGCTCTACTGGAGTTGGAGTTACACAATCATGAGCCACCTGACATGGGTGCTGGGAATTGAACTCCTGTCCTCTGGAAAAGCAGTATGTGCTATTAACTACTAAGCCTTTCCTCTGGCCCCGACTGTTGGTTTGTTTGTTTGAGGCAGGGTCTTTCACTGATCCTGGAGCTCACTGCTTTACTAAACTGGCAGCACAGTGAGATGCAGGGACCCTAGTTTCTCCACTCCTCAACCCTGGGATTATATATGTGCACCTCAATGACCAACTATTTATGTGGGTGCTGTAGAGCCAGACGCAGGTCCCTGTGCCTTCACCAGGAACACTCCACCAACTATGCCATCTCCCCAGCCCATGAAGACGCGTGCTTTGAGGGTATCTTTGACAAATATCTAAAGCCTAACACTGGCACTTTAACCTTTACCCCAAATCTCAGCTCAAACTTTGGCGTACTAAAAGCCAGACAAACCCAAACCTGTTCTCTTTGGCTCTCATTTCTCCATCCTTCCCTTTGCTCCAAAACTTAGCAGCCACTAATCAATTCTATGTCTCTCTTGGGGGTATTTCATATACATGGAATTATATATGCTCTTTTATAATTGTGGTGTTTCAGTTAGTAAATGCTTTCAAGGTTCATCCTATGTTGATATATATATATATATATATATATATATATATATATATATATGCTTCATTCCTTTCTATGGCTGAATCATAGTCTCTTGTAAGGATACAACATATGCTGTGTGTTCACCAGATAAGGAACATTTGAATATTTATATCTTTCGACGTTTGTGAGTAATGCTGTTGTGACTATCCATGTACAAATTTTTGTGTGCACATATTCTCTTTTATTCTTAGGTATATTCCTAGTAGAGTTCCTGGGTGTCATGGGAGTTCTAAGTTTAAGTTTTTGAAGAACTTTTAGGCCGCTTTTCAAGTAGCTGCACCATTTTACATCCCTAAAAGCAGTTCTAACTCTTCTGCATCTTCACAGGCACTGATTAGTTATGGCCACCCTGCTATGTATACAGTGTGTTACCTCACTGCAGTTTTGATATGCATTTTCTTAATAGTAATGATGTTGAGCATCATGTTGTGTGCTTGCTGGCTACTTGTACATGATTTTTGGAGAAATGTCTGTTCCGTTTTAAAATTATGGGTTTTTTTTATTATTCTTATTAAGTTGTATTAAGCCTTCCCCTGGAAAGTTAATCTTTTAAAAAGAAAGGTACAAAAATGTGTTCATTCTGTCTCACTGGTATTCTCTACCATGGTGCCCAACTTTGTTTTCTAAAACATCCTCTTCACCTTGTAGACTGCATGACAATTTACCACTTTGGTTGTTACTATTATGTTACCACTGGCTTCCATGAGGGCAGTAAACTCTGTGTTTTGTTAAAATTCATACCTGTCATAATATCTGATGGTATAGCACACACTCAGTAAATTCCAATGAAGAAACAATTAAGAATAAACAGTGGTATGGTCTTGTATATTGAAAAGTAGTCTGGACATTTTTATTTTCAAACATCTTTCATCTTCATAAAATACTTTAAGTGTGTAATACTTGATGAAAGGATATTTTCCTTTGAAATGACTTCTTTTGATATATTCCTGTTGAAAATTTGGAAAAGATAGCAATGTATAAAAATAAAATCTGAATTATCCATGATTCCATCGCCGAGGAATATCATTTGTTTTCCCAGTGGCATATGTACTATATCATTCTTCTACCACATTAAAAATGACTGGACTGTTGAAAAAGCATCCAATGTTCATGGACAGGAAAACAGTATGGTTAAGATGGTTAATTACACAGGTGTGCAAATTCTACTTTGTGAATATACTGAAGAATGAACTGTACACTCTAATGGGATGAATTTTCTAGTGGGTAAATCATTGTTCAACAAAGCCTTCTCCTTGTCCTGATTTTGTCTGGTTTGAACCTGTGCAGGTCTTCTGCGTGCTGTCACAGTCTCTGTGAGCTCACATGCACATCAGTCTTGTTGGGTCTGGAAGACACTGTTTCCTTGGCATCGTCCACCACATCTGGCTCTTACAACCTTTCCGCCTCTTCTTCCTCACAGATCCCTGAGCCTTGAGAGGAGGGTTTTGATAAACATATACTGCTTAGGGCTGAGTGCTCCAAAGTCTCTCACTCTCTGTGCATTGTCCAGTTGTGGGTCTCTACGTTAATTTCCATCTACTGTAATTATAAACTTCTCTAACGGGGGTTGAGGGATGCACTGATCTATGGCTATGACAATGTCACTAGGAGTCATTTTATTGCTGTGTTCCTGTAGCGAAA